TGTTACACAATGACCTGAACCCAACATTCCTTCCAGACAGCTCATCCAAAATCCTTGGCCTTCCACTCATGAGGCAAGTGAGGGCCAAACCCAGTAACAAAACATGTCTGTTGGCCAAGAAGTTTGGGCAGAAAAGGATTGCAGGAGAAATCCATTGTCACCCACAGTATGGCATAGACCCAGAAGACACAAAAAGCTATTCCAGTGTTTGGAATAAGGCTGCCAAGCAGTCTACAGGCAAACCCAGCAATGGGTTTACTTATAAGCCTCCAGGGAAGAAATGGGTGTATCATTCCTCTGGAGTGTTAAACACCTATAGATCTGGAGGGTATGCATTCTATTTCTTTCCAACACAGCAGAGCTTTAATTCCACACTGAGGCTCAAGGAACTTGAGGGAAAGAATTGGCTTGATGAGATGACATGGGCTGTGATTGTAGAACTAACCACCCTGAATCCAGACACCAGTCTGATGTGTAGTATTTCAGTTGTATTTGAAGTCTCTCCCTTAGGAGTCGTCAACTCCAGCCTCTCTGTGTACTCCTTCTCACTTGCTGATTTCAGCAGAGAAAACTGGGCAGAAATCTATCTCTATGTAGCCATTCTCATATTCTTTTGTGCCTATGTTGTGGACGAGGGCTATATCATCATGCATGAAAGAGCTTCCTACTTGAGAAGTGTGTACAACCTGCTCAACTTCTCTCTGAAGTGCATGTTTACACTGCTGATAGTGTTGTTCTTCCAGAAGTACCTCCTGGCCACCAGCATGGTCCAGCTTTACCTGACTGACCCGAAAGCCTTCATCCCCTTCCATGCCATTTCTCAGGTTGATCACTTCATAAGGATCACCTTAGCTTTCTTGTTATTTCTGACCACACTGAAGACACTCAGGTATTCCAGATTCTTCTATGATGTGCGCCTGGCTCAGAAGGCCATCCAAGCTGCCCTTCCTGGTATCTTCCACATGGCCTTGGTGGTATCTATGTATTCCTTCATGTACGTAGCTTTTGGGTACCTTGTTTTTGGTCAGCATGAATGGAATTACAGCAGCATGATTCACGCCACCCAAACCATCTTCTCCTACTGTGTGTCAGCCTTTCAGAACACAGAATTTTCCAGCAACAAGGTTCTCGGGGTCCTGTTTCTCTCATCGTTTATGTTGGTGATGATTTGCATCTTCATCAACTTATTCCAGGCGGTGATTCTATCTGCCTATGATGAGATGAAGCAGCCTGTGTATGAGGAGCCGTCAGATGAGGCAGAGGCAATAACCTATCTGTTTGATAATCTAAGATCTGGGTTTGACTTTCTCACCTCCCGATCTAGGGACAAAGACCAATCTGAATTCTTTGTCGACATGATGTATGGGCAGCCAGAGAAAAACAATCGCCGGTTCCTGGGGCTGAAGACCAGAAACATCAATGGGAAGAAAATGGTTTACCTTGTTGTCTGACAGGTGAGGATTGGAAGGTCCACAAGCAAGAATGTCCCCAAACATTAAGTATGTTTGTCAAGGGCACTAAGGAATGTCTCATGGCTTGGTCATGTACATCTCTACATCTGAAGTATCCCCACTCTGGGCCCTGCTCATGAGAATAAGAACATATGAACAGAGGGGAATATTAGGGGAGAGAAAAGGATGGCAAGGTGGGATTCCTTCCAGATGGGATTCATTGACTCCTTTTGTGGGAGTCTGCAACAGTGTGGAGGAGTGACAGCCATGGGATCCAGCTTCAAGGGAAAGAGCTGGCCAGGTCCCATCGTGGATTTAGCTTCAGGCCAGCAGCCTCAAAGCAGAAGCAAACTGGCCAGCCTCCCTGGGAGTCTCCTTTGCAGACCATGCCTGGGACGCCTCTCTTCTCCAGCCTTCCTGCAGGCCAGGGCTAGAGGGGTCCTATGCGGGGAGTTCCAGGACTGGCCTGGAGTTTGAGAATGCAGAGATGAGAGAAGGGGACAGGGATCTGAAGTTTCCCACTTAATTCCCTCAGGCTAAGCATTTCAAGTGCACCTGGTAACATTCTCTGACCAAGAGACATAGCTGTTGCCAACAAAGGTGCACAAAGGTTCAATGTGGAAACATGGTACATGTTCTATGTACTGAATATAGCAATACGTGTTTGATGACTTGGGCATTTGGTTATATTTATGACTTGGTGGATGATTTAGGAGTAAGGAAATGAGGTTTACTGTTCAAGAAGAACAGGGCTAACAGCTGTTATATTGTTACTCAGAAGCATGTGCCTTTATGTTGATGCCACTTTAAGTTTTACATGAATTAAACTTGAGATTTCTTCCGTTACCTGTGCAGTGATTTCTGTATAAGGGATCAAGACGTATCTGTGGCTGCCTTCAAAGGTGAGGGCCAGAAAAGGTAAACACAAATGAGGCTATGGCCACACTACACTCGCATCAGCATCCTGTGACTCTGAAGACTTTCCTGTATGACACTACTTTTTTTGGAGACAGAACCTCACTACATAGCTCTGGTTGTCCTGGAACTCACTAAATAGTGAACTCACAGAGATCTGCCTGCCTCTGCTCCCCCAGTGCTGGGATTAAAGGCGTGTGCCACCATATTAATATTCAGCTTTATTTTATTTTATTTATTTTTTTCTGAGACAGGGTTTCTCTGTATTGCTTTGGATGCTGTCCTGGAACTAGCTCTTACAGCCCAGGCTGGCCTTGAACTCACAGAGATCCACCTGCCTCTGCCTCCCAAGTGCTGGGATTAAAGGTGTGAGCCACCACTGCCTGGCTTTCAGCTTTGGACCCAGTGATACCTTGAATCTATCCACTCCTACCATTCTTTTTGTAACTGCCCAACTCTTCCTCTTCCCACCTTTATGCCACCACCATCACCATTGTTATCATCCAGAGTCCTGCCTACCTATCAGTGGCCAAACCCCCAAAGAAACATGACACCTCTTTCCCCAAAGCCATCATCAGTAGCCAATAACTCCCCACACAGTGTGGAGCCACGTCAGTCCACACTGGAATGTTAACCGGCTGGGTCTTTTTCTGTAGGTTTGTACAAGTAACCAAAGCTGCTATGAACTCATGAGGCCGACGACCGTGTTATGCCTAAAAGATAGCATGTCACAATGTCCTTCCCCATCCTCCCTCTGCTCTTATGCTCTTTCAGGTCACTCTTCTGAGATGTTCCCAGAGCCTTCTTGGGGTTAGGAGTGATATAGATATCCCATTTAGGGCTGAACACTCAAATAGTTCAGTTGTTTTGGCTGTTACTATACATTGTCAATGGCTTTGTTATAGACTCCTTTCTGCTGCTTCATCTCACGCTCAACTGGCATTTGCTTGGAATGGCAGGTACTTAGGGATTCTGCCCATCTTCTGTAAAGGGGTTTTATAACATACATGATATGGTGCTAGCCATCTAGTGTCTTGGAGATGCATCTGGAAGAACAATAAAACAACAGTAAAGAAAGCACCAGAAGCTGTAAGGGCACCACACATCCAAGGGCAGGTTATGTCCCTACAAGTTGCTAGCCAAGGAAACCTTTTAAGTCTCAGAACCCTGAAAGGCAATTTCCATTAATGTTGTTTGCATGTCAAAATTAGATGAAAACACTCATATACTGCAGGACATGGAGAAATCAGGCTAAAACTGGGTGGGGGTGGGAGGGCTACACTACTGAGGGGGATTTACTGCCAATAGTCCCATTTAGTTATGGTTTCCATTACATGACCATGCCCGGCAAGGTATGTCTGCTGGTGCAATAGTGGCAAACTGGTATGGATGTAGACAACACTTTCTGATTGGATTTAAGGCTCCCTAGGAAGGAACCCATGTTTGGCACTATAAACCTGGGCAAAAACTTGTGGCTGGTGGTCATAGGCTCTGGTGGGGAGAGTACTACCATTATTTTGTTAAATGGACAGACATGTAGGTAAAACTGCCTTTTAAAAACCTGATTTCTTACCCACAGATTACTGCTGCTGTTCTTTTTGCAGTCAGTGGTAGTTACCAAGAAGACTCAAAACCAGTCAAACTGTAAATAAATAGCTATTTCTATGGCTTAGATGTCCAATTCCCAACCATAAATGGAAGAAAGTAATCAGACTTCTATGTAACCCCTTCCAAGGTTCAGGGAACATTACCCAAGAAGTGCAGAAATAAGAGCCACAGAAAGAAGCGAAGGGTAGTCCTCTCCCCGAGATGGAAACATTCTCTCTCGGAGGCAGAGGAGGATGTACATAAATCAGAAAGCTCACCAAACTTTTAATTTTAATAATATCCATGCCGATCGTGGTGGCACACGCCTTTAATCCCAGCACTACAGAAGAGATAGGTGGGATCTCAGTGAGTTCAAGGCCAGTTTGGTCTATAAAGAGAGTTCCAGTACAGCCAGGACTGTTACACAGAGGGGGGGGAGAGAGAGAGAGAGAGAGAGAGAGAGAGAGAGAGCAAAGCCCTTCTCAAAGTTACAGAAGCAATTAGCAATTGCTGCGGGAGACAGGTGGAACTACCTCCAAGTCTTGCAGGCAAGTTATCACCCCCTTGGGTAGCCTTTTCAATGTTTCCTTTCTCACCCTTAGCCCTGTAAATAATCCCAATAAATTCACTGGTTCGCCAAGCAAAATTCAGGGAGAATTGGCTTTTGTTTTTTGTCTGTCATCAGTATGCCTCGTCCTGAAGAAGCCCAGACAGCCTTCAAGCAGAGATCCACAACCCCTAGACATGAGCTGCGGAAACGGAAGCGGCTAGTGAAGCTCTACCCGGACAAGCACACTCCTTAGATTAATCTTGCGTTCGGAGGCGGGGAGCGGGTGGGGTCGGGCAGGCGCGGTGAAGCAATCCGCAGGTCTAGGGTAGTGCGGGGTGGGGCCTCAGCAGGCTCACACTCGCTCTATGGGGCGGGACTGCGCAGACGCTAGGGGCTGGAGGCGGGGCCTAGGAGGACTTAGGGAGGGGCCGCGCAGGCGCTATGGGGCGGAGCTAGTGTTGTGGGCGGGCTACGCAGGCGCCTTGGGACTTTCCGCGGGGAGGTGGTGAGTGCGCGCGGTAGTTTGTTGCGGGGACGCGCGTGTTGAGCTGGACGGTTCTTTCTCCACGTTCGGGCTCTATGCATCTAGCCTCGGCGCTTCTGGAAGCTGAAAGGGAGCGTTAGACTTAACACCCGGCTCAGGGCACGGGGAGAGCTGCGCGTGGGTGGCTATTTGGGTGATCCTTGTCGTACGTGTCTTTGGTCGCCAGGCGGAGCCCTGCTGACCCGGGGAGAGTGAGCGGGAGGTGGAGGCTCTGGCGGAGTCGCGCTATCCTGGGACTGTCTCCTGACTGTCACCTGCTACAAGGGCAGTATGCCCAGCAGACTCGGCGAGGGCCTGCGACGTGCGAGTTAAGATACCAAGCAGAACTAGCTAGGTTCGCGCACACCCAAAATAGGATTTTCATTTATAGACATCATCATTAGGAACTCTTGCCAGTTTCCAAGGCTTGTCCCTTCTGGCTCCAAATGTTGTTCTGCAGGACACGAAGGGTTAGAGGAGGGCACAACTGGTGCCAGGCTGCTGCTGCTGCTTTGTGTGGGAACTTTGAAAGGCAAGGCAGGAATTCCGATACAGAGCTGTAAAATCTCTGCGGTTGCCGGCAGACCACTTAGCCAGCAATCTACAGAGAGGCAGGGCCTCCAAGACTTTAGATACACGTGAGTATAGGGGTGCTATCCAAACAGATGAATGCAGCCACACCAAGTGGACCAGGATTCGACACCGGGGAACCACGGAAACAAGGGACTTGGCACTCACCCTGGGCTTTTCACCAGCATACACTGGGTGCTGGTGGGAAATAGTAAAGGCAGAGCAGAAAATCTAAGAGCTTTCCTGTAAGCCGACCCGGAGAAGGCTCTGGTTGCTGCAAATTTATCTGCCTGGATCTTCCAAGGGAACAAAAGTTTCAGGCTACTTGGGTAAGCCAGGAAAGTATGCTCTAGGGCAAGTGAAGAGTCTTGCATCCAGTGAAGGTGCAGGAGGCACATAAATAGTATCTGAGAGGCCAATAAATCTCACACCTAAGCACAAGTAATGTTAAGAGAAATTTGAAGCCAGTACAGAAGAACAACCAGGAAAGCCAAACCCACCTCAGTTACCCTCTAGATTGATTCAGCATCAAACAGCACAGGCCTGGTATACATGCCCATTCTGGGTCCTAAATACCGTTTTACCTTACAGAAAAATCTGGCTTAGCACCCAAATTGAGATACAAAAAAGAGCAAGGAAACAGCCTTGCTGCCAAGGAGCAAAATAATAGGTGCAGAACCAGATGTGGCTCAGATGTTAAGGAGAACTATCAGATGAAAGGTTTAAAACAAGTATGGTTAACATGTTAAATGTGCCAGTGGAAAAGATACATAACATGCATACACAGGTGGGGATTTCAGCAGAGGAGGAGTTGGTAGTGAAAAAACCATAGAGAGGAAGAATGCCTTCAAGAGGCCTATCGGTTGATGTGAATAAAACCAGTGAACTTGAAGCAAGTCTATAGAAATTATCCAAAGTGGGGCTGGTGAGATGCCTTGGCAGATTAAGGTGACTTGCTGCCAAGCCTGACCTGAAACTGATCTCCAGATCACATATGGTCAAAGATGAGAACTGACTCCACATTGGTTCTGTAGCACACTATGATGGCTGTGCTTGGTTGTCAACCTATGTCTGGAATGAACTACAATCCAGAAACCGAGGGCACACTTGTGATCTGGATCTTGAGGCAAGAAGACACACACCTTTAATCCAGATCTTGAGGCAGGAAGGCACACCTTTAATCTGGGCCTGTACCTTCTGTTGGAAGTCTGTATAAGGACAGTGGAAGGAGGAAGTGTTCATTCCTTTTTCACCTGCTTGCCTTGTCAGCACATCCATTCCTTCACTGGCATTGAAACCTACTTTATGATTCTAGAATATACAGAAGACCAGCTGAGACATCCAGCCTTGTGGGACTGAGCAACTACTAGATTCTTGGACTTCACAGCTAGCCATTGTTGGACTAAAGCCTGTAAGTCATTCCAATAATTAACACCCCCCCACACACACACTTAGTGAGAGAGAAAAATTCATTCCATACATAAGTTTTGTGACTCTAGAGAACCCTGACTAATACACACATGCATACCCATACAAAATTGGTCAATGAAAAATATAACTAAAAACCATGGCTGGTGAGATAGCTCAGGGGTTAAAGACATTTGCTGCCAGGGCTGCAGAGATGGTGCAGCAGTTAAGAGCTCTGTCTGCTCTTCCAGAGGACCTGGGTTCAATTCCCAGCACCCATATGGCAGTTCACAACTGTAACTCCAGTTTGTAACACAAATGTCTATAACATTTGTTGCCAAGGCTGATGACCCGAGATTAATTCCCAGGACCTATACTGTAGAAGGAGAGAATTTCTGTAAGTTGTCCTCTGACCTCTTCATGAATTCCATGGATGCACAACCACCTCCCCAAATAAACAAATGTAAATAAAAAGTAAATTATCCAGTTTCAGGATGTGGGGATGGAAACAAAACTCTCTAATTTCACTTTGACATTGAACAGGTGTTTTGCTCTGAATTTGAGCTTACTTGTCAAGGAAGCTTGCATTTTGTGGATGTGATATGGACATCAGGCAGAGTGGATTTGAAGTGTGGTGGTTCTCAGTTTTGATGGTGATGCTTCTATCTCTTGATCTTACAGATGGCATCTGAGGCAGAGCCCCGCCTCCTGGGCATGTTTGAGTGCCAGCTCTGTGCCTTGACAGCTCCTTACAGCTACGTGGGACAGAAGCCCCCAGACACCCATGCTGTTGTGTGAGTATGCGCTCTGGGGCAGTGTTCAAGAGGCTCTGTCCAGTATTGCTTGGCAAGTGCTGTGTGGAGTGTGACACCAGGCTTGGGTGTTTTAGTTCAGTCCTTGCACTTGCTCTGGGTGTTCAGGCATAGCCTAAGGAAGCCCCAGGCAAGGCTGGAAAGCTTTTTTTTTTTTAAAAAACAAACAAACAAACAAACAAAAAACTCTTCCAGGACTCTCCTCCCTTCCTATAGGTGCAGCTGACAGCTAGGCACTTGCTCTGGCTATAAGGCCTTATGGCCCAGGGCAAACAGCAATGGAAGAGCATGGTGCCTTTTTCATGTAGTGCTGTGCCCTATGCCATCCCTGCTGGTAGTAGTCCGTGCTGGTTGTTCCTAAGGACCAGCTTCCTGAAGGTATGCTTCATGCCAGTTGGGAGCAGAGATGGTTTTGAGCTTGTTTGTTGGGTTGTGTGGCTCATCTTTCATCAAAAATCATGTGACAAAGTGGCAGGGGACCAGGCTCAATTCCTTTGCTTCCCTGGATTACCATGCCACTAAGTCACTCTCATTCTGATGTATGTGGGACAGAGAAGAGCATGCCCCACACTGACCTCATGAGCCAACCTAGTGAATCATACTTGCTCTGGGGTGCACCGAGAGGCTTCCCAGTGCACCTTGCAGAGCTGGGGCCGGGTCACATTTCAGTTCCCACCTGTCCTCCAGCTGCCAGCCTTTCTGTCACTACCCTACTGCCCAGGTTGGCTAGTTCCTGCCTATTGAGGCTCCTGCTGCTGCTGTGCAGCACTGCCCTGGCTCACAGCTGAGTGTCGCTTCTCCCTGCAGTCTCCTGGAGGAAAGCTACATCATGAAGGATCCCTTCTCCTCAGACAAAGCCAGGTTTCTGGTCCTTGGCTCACGGTGCAGTGTGTGTGGCAAACTGGTGTGTGTGGGCCCGGTAGGTACACCTGGGACTTCCATTTTTGCTCCATAGATCTGAGGACCGCCAGTAGAGAGAGGGTGGGGTTCTTAGATAACAGCTAGCCCCATCCTTTGGGACACAAGGGCAAAGGGAAGGGACCAGTGTGGGCAGATAGAATGTCTCAGCCTGGGGTTGGGCCTTGCAGTAGTTCTGGATCTGAGAACCCCTGGGTACCTGCCACAGGTTCAATGCACACAAGGGGTCTTGCCACAGGTCATGGCCAACAACTGTCTCCTCTCTTTGCTGTCTGGTTGGTGTATGGGATGGTGGCAGAAGCCTCAGGTCCCATCACTTGGAGGGAAGACTGTGGAGGGAGTGTTTGAGGTCAACAGACTAGAAACATGGGCTGGGGGCAGCCTCTAAGGAGCCTCAAGTGCCACTCCTTGGATTTGGGCTGTACTTGGCAAGCAGAAAGGGGGGTGGGGACTGCCCCAAGAATGTCAGGTATTCTCTTGGATTAAACAATACATTGTTAGTAAGGTGATCTCCATTGCAAGGAATTGTTCCTCAGAACTCAGGCAGGACAGCCACCATGCCAGCCCTTGGTGCTTGTTTTTGTTGCTCAGGTTGCTGCTTCTCCCTGTGCCTTATGGTGGGGCGGGGGTTGCTTGGGAGAGGTGGCACTGTGTCCCCAATGTTCTAGCCCTGTTTCCTCTCACAGGACTGCAGCCTGTTCTACTCCAAGAGGGTCTGCCTCCCCTGTGTTCAGGAGAATATCAGTGCTTTCCCTCAGGAAATACAGCAGGATGTGGAAAAGAGAAAAGGGGCCTCCAAGAAGCCCTCCAGCCATCCCTGACTGGCAGGCACACAGCCTCCTGTGCAGCGTTGGGCTGACTCAGCCAGGGTTCCGGCTGGGAGATGTGTATCTGGCCTCCCCTGAACTGTGGAGTACCTGCAGCCCTGGGAACCAAGGAGCTGGCCAAGCCTGAGGACAGACAGCAGGAGTGGATCCAGCTGCAGCTCCAGGACTGGCCTCGGGTGAGGGACAGGCACTCCCTCCATGGACAGTTGGTAGAGCTTCCTGTACATGTACCTGTGGGAGACACCTGGCTTTTCTCCAGGACTGCCAAATAACATGATGTCATCTGCCTGTAGGGAATTCAGCCTCCGAGGCCAGTGGCAAGGCCAGAGGATATACAAGGGTTACGTCACATCCTGTGCAATGCCTGGGAAGTGATTTAAACCTTGACTTTGTATCATGTTTATAATTAAAAACCTGAAAAATAAGCTAATGATTTAAGTAACCCTTTCACTGGCCTACTTGGACACTCAGTGCATCTGTTGGAGCCAGTCTGTGCAAACCAGCCATCTTCCAGCATCATTCAAAATGAACCAACTAATTTTTAAAAATAGTTTATTCTTTTAAACCATATTAAGGCAAAACTGTACCCTGAAATTAACTCTTTACATTCATCAGTCTTACAGTAGGACATTCCAAACATACAGGTTCCCATAAATTCAGGATATAAATCAATGTGTACAGTCAGTTTAATCTCCTATGGAGAAAACGAAGAAGACTCAATATTTTTTTTAATTAAGGTTAAGTTATAGCCATTTTCTAATTGCCTGGAACCAATCAGTTCATGTGACTAGGAAATTCTATTTACCCTTCTGTGTTCACCCTGGATTCCTGATGTCCTGGCTAGCCCTGTATCCACAAAGAGCTGGAAGGTTGGAGAGGATGCTGGCACCAGCTCAACAATCCCTATTCAGGACTGTTCTTATCACAGAGGTGAAGGGCTGAAAGCCCCTAGGTCTGAGAGAATGGCACCAAGGACAGTAGTGAGCAGGTGGCAGAAAGCTGGGCTCAGACCTTGCTTTGGAAATGAGCATGTCCTCATGTGTCTGTCAGACCCCTCCCCGTGGGCTCTAGTGTTATGACACTGTAGATCTTAGAGGGTGTTACGAAGACACACCAAAAAGAAATGTGGCCAGGACACTGGAAATGACATGGAGATGCAGTGAAACAGCTCAGATTGCCACAGTTCTTTGGTAATTTATAGGTAATAATTCCCTGAATAGTGGACAGCTGTTAACCTGACAAGCCTACTCAGTGGCCTTGATAGAAACAGTGGTGTATGGTTGATGACTTCCAGCCAGGGTTCAGAAAGGCCTGGCTGACAGACATGGATACAAACAGATTGGCTTGCACTTGTTGCGAAGGAGAAAAAAAAAAAAGAACGACTATAGCGGATGGTGCACAGCTCAAGTGTGGGGTGTGCACTCACGGGCAGAGGTGCCACTGTTTTTCCTTGGGCTTCCTGTGTCCAGCAGGTTCAAGAGCCAGGCTTTAAACATAAACCACACTGAACCTCAACTTAGAAGATTCCAGGTGTTGGCGATTAGACACACATCACAAGCTTGTCAACTACTTGTATCAGAGTGTTTAAAAAACAAAAATAGAAATCACAGTATTTAAGATATAGCTATAAAGATAATTCTTTTTCATTCAGTGCAGAAAACATAGTGACACTTAACATGGGTAATACTGACATCTTCCTAGAAAGGTGCCAAGTGGCATTCATTTGATGTGAGGTACACTTAGTTTCAGGCCTGACAAAAGAGTTGGCTGTGCCTTTTTTCTAAGTGAATTTTCCCACAGTGACAACTTCACCAGGAAAAAGTCAGCCATTGCTGGTCTTCAGGTCCTGAATCCAGGTTTGATGTGACTTGACACACAGTGAGTCCCAGGGGCCTGGGAAAGATGTCCAAGTGTCCCCTGCAGGCCAGGGAGCCCAGAGATAACACCTGCCTCTTCTCTGGCCTCACGCCTGTCAGGGTGACCTGTGCCCCAGGGATGAGGCATGTTTCACCAAATAAATGAATTTGAAGATGGGCAAGGGGGAAAGAGATGCGAAGAGGAGACCATTATTTCCCCTTATTTCCCCTCTCTGCAGACAACTTCAGGGTTTTCATATTTGACCCCAACTGGCAAATTTTTAAATAAAAAGAAAATGAAACTAAGCCTAGTTGCTGTCTATTACATAAAACTTGATATTTCTCATTTCCTTTTGCCACTAAGGTGCTGTCAACTGCTTGGTCAAGACATGACACACTCCGTTCTGACTGGCACAGAGCTCACTATGCAACTGCTCTCCCTGATTAAACTGTCTTGGGGGAGCAAACAAACAGGCTCTATTTCTCATGTCTCAGATTGAGATTCTGAGAGGTGGGTGTGACAGCTGTTGGCTGGGGACAGCAGCCTCTCACACTCTGTCTTGAAAAGGGGGGGCACACATCTTTTCCTGATGAGTCTGAAGCCCACTGCATTGAGGCAAAACCAGAGACACCGACACATTCCTCAGAGGAGGCTCAGTGGGGAGCATGATCCACTTATTTAAACCCAAACCTGTCTTGATGCATATCTTATTGTGTGCTTTGTTTTTTAGAGAAAGACAAAGGCCATCTCTGTTCTGAGTCAGGTGGTTGGTCTAGTATTCTTATACTACTCTGTTCACAGGTGTCTGACATACAGATGTGGACGAGGGACAGAACGGTGCCTGGGGACCACCAGGAAACCAGCCTGGCCCTCCAGCAGTGAGGCTGGTGGTGTCTGCTTGAAGATGGGTTTGGATTCCTGTTCTCCCCCCTCCAGAGGCTGTGGGGAAGCACTGGTTCCTGCTCTGCAGGCTGGGTGAGCAGTTGGAGGCAGCTGCTGTATCTTCCTAGTGGAATCTTCATCTTGAAAGACCACACAGGTTAGAGAGAGATTCTGTGAAGTTGGTAGGCTTTCTGGCTGTAGGAGGCCCCAGGCCAAAGGCTAGTCAATCTCAGGGGGCACCAGAAAAACATTAAACGGAAGTTTAGCAAGACATTTTCAAAACACATGGCCAATGAGGCAGGACAAAAATTGCTTTCTACCATGCCCTGTGTGGTATGCTGGATAAAGGCTCAAGGTGAGGTATGTTTGGAATCAGACAGATGCAAGCTGAGTGTAGAGGAGCCCAAGGACCATGTTCTTCTGAAGGTCTGCTTTAAGGACTCTCTACTGGGGAAGGACCTATAAGACTATCGGAAAGAGGTGGTGTGGAGGGAGGGGCTGGTAGGCTGGCCCCTGCCGACAGAGTCATAGAGGAAGTCACACTTGGCATCTAAAAGAACCAAACCTTCATGAACACTGGTGAGCATCAGCTCAGATGCAAACCGACACAGAATTTGTCAATTACCTCTGTGGTCCATGCTGAAGGCATACAGCAAGGGGCTACTTTTCATAAGTTTTATGAAAGTTCAAATAGAATGCATGACTACTGTAAACACCCATGACTCAAAACTTACTTTCCAAGGTTACCTACACTAAGTGGCATTTGTCTAAGGCCCATCAGAACAGGAGCCCACCTGGTAGGGGACTGGTGCACTAAAGAGACTTGGAACTGGAATCTAACCTTTAACCCTCTAAACCTAGGACCAGCCCTAGCTCTACAGGAAGGACCGAGGACTGGATATGCCATGTGCTGCAAAGGCTGGCTTCTCCTGAATGAGCTCAACCCTTACTAGGATCATATATGGAAATGATTTGCTCTGTCTCTGATTCTTAAGAGCCTGGGAAGACTTCCTGTGACAACTGCTGTCCAACAGAGCCTTTGGCAGTAAGGAAGGAAGGAAGGAAAAGAGGGAAAGTGGGAATGAGGAAGGAAGAGAGGCAAGCAGACAGGGAGGAAGGGGATATGGGATATTTGTATACTGTGTGAAGATGTATTGCTGTGATTGGTGTAATAAAAAGCTGAATGGCCAATAGCTAGGCAGAGGTATAGGTGGGATTTCCCGGGAAAGAAAGGAAGAGGGGGAGGAATCTAAGCAAGCAGGAGAGAGATGCGAGGAGACATGGAGAGGAAACGGAAGGTGCAAGATGGAAGAGAGGTAATGAACATAGATTAATATAAATGGGTTAATTTAAGTTATAAGAGCGAGTCAGGAGCAAGCCTAATTAATAAGTCTCTGTGTCATTATTTGGGAGCTGGCTAGTGGGACAGAAAAAGACTCGTTACAGGAGGAGGAGGAAGGGAAGAAGCCAGTAAGTGTGCAAATCATAGTGGTTTGTTTTTGATTTTTGAGACAGGGTTTCTTTGTGCAGCCTTAGCTGTTCTAGACCTCACTCTATAAACCAGGCTGGACCTAAACCCACAGAGGTCCACCTGCCTCTGCCTCCTGAGTGCTGGGATTAACGGTGTGCATGACCACCACCCAGCCATAAGTGTGCAAATCTTAAAGCATGTCTTGATCCCAATTTTCCATTTTTCCTACTTGAAATGTCATGGCCATATTATTCTTTCTACTATTTTCATAGTGCTGATCATGAACGTTTTTTATCAGCATCAGTGTTTTGTTTTTGTGTCACAGCACAGACTAGCGTCAGACCTAGTTATGTATCTGAAGGCCACCTTAAACATCTGCTGAGGTTACAGGTACATACCAACATGCCCAACATAAAGTGGACCTCTACCAACTGTGAACTATATCCTCAACTCCTTGGAAGTATCCATCTTGATCATTCTTTAATAACAAATAATGATGACTTCAGAAAAGCCATTTTTTTTCTAACAATAGGGCAGGGCCATAAAAGATACAAGCTGATCTGAAACATGCAGCTAGCTACCCTCTTGAAGGGCAGGTACTTGCAGGTCTGTGAGGTCTGAGAATTCTCTGTGCAAAGTGTTTCTCTTGAAGGTAGTCAGCACTGCTTTCCCAATGGGACTTAGGAAAAGGGACTTTACCATCTAATTCTTTGAAAACAACAACAAACCAACCGAGCCTTGTGAGATCTTCAATTGGATACAAACAGAAGGGGAAGGACATCACACCCTTGCCTCTTGCTCTCCAGGGTGACCAGATCATCCCAGCCTGGGTAGTAAAGTCACTTTTGCCTTCTCCACTCCAGGGAGCATCTCCCCACCATTTTTTTTTAAAGACAAAGTGTCGTATTAAAGGAGCTGCCAGGGGGGAGGGGGGCTGGAGGAGCATTTTTAAGTCTTCTGTGACTCCATCTCTGGAATTGCTGTCATGCCCACCTACTGAGGGCTTAACATGAAGAGGATTGCAGAACTAGCTGCTCAGGGCTCATCCTGTCTGTGTATCAAACATTAGCTCAAGCCTCCTGAGGCTTCTTGAGATTGTAGCTTTCTGGAATTTTCTATGCAAACCTGGAAATTTTTTCCCCATGTATTAGTTATACCCTCCAAAGCAGTGAATCAACAAAGAAAATGATGGGGCTGCCTTCTAACCATTCTTGAATGTTCTCAGAAGCCAGGTCTCTTTCTTAGAGCCAGGAAACAGAAATGAAGTCTTCCCAATAAACATTTTTTGCCATGTTTAAATGTCTCACCTTGGGCCACATGGTGACTTGTAGGTTTTAAAGGTTAAAAAAGTGCAGATTAGTTTTTGGGATTTACAAGGGTGCACACAGCCAGAAGGACGGTAAGCAGAGAAGAGAAACTTGGACTTTGAGGTTACACGTTAATTAAGGGCAAATTATAAAAGTGATATAAAGAAATGAGCATTGATTAACATTGGACCAGTTAAGATCAGACTGGGGATTGCCACTCTCTGTGATTGTCTGAATCCTATTAGCTACCGATCACCAGGATTTGAGTAGCAGGTGTTCTTAGAAGTGCCCATCCAGAAAGGTAAGAAGTGGGAAGAGCCTGCATTACCTAGGCTCAGCCCTCTTCACCTCCAAGGGTAGGGTGGCCGTCTGTGCAAATCCCTGCTCTTCTGTGTGGGGCTGCAGACCTCAGAGGTCCCTGGACAGTGGCAATTGCCGCCATCTCAGGAAAAATCAGTACATGTCCCTGTAGATCTCCTGCAGTAGCGGGTGCAGCGCTGCGTCAGTCTCAGTCTTCTTGATGACTTGCACGAGCTGCGCATGCTCCGTGACCAGCTGCCGAAGGTCCACCATTTTTTGAAGAAGTTTCGGGAAGAGAAAGGTATCATCCGGGTGGTTGCTCTGCAGGTGGAGTTTGAGCACGTGCACGATACCCTCCTGCATCTTCTCAATGTATCCTATGTTTAGAAGGCCAGGCCGATCTACGCTCAAAAGAAGAAAGAGACGTCTGAGTGTGACCATCCGAGAGTCACCGGTCAGTGGAGGAGCCAAGTGTCGCTGCTTCATGTGGCCCTGTGGAGAAGGCGCTGAGTGACCTTCACATGGCAGCCTGACCAGAGGTCAGACTGACTTTTCCACAGTCACTGGCTCTGATAGGGACAGACAGGACTGGCCTAGCTATGTACAGGACTAGCACATAGTGCTACCTCCATCCCCCTTACAGTGCAGCCCCTACTTTCGGATTTGCCTGACAAACCCCAAACCATGCCACATCTTTGTGTAGTGTGGGAAATGAAGTACTTCTTCCTGGAGAAAAGCAGAAGTGCAACAGGATCAAGCTCTGCCTTAGAGCAACATTATTGATACCTCTCCTGAGGCCCGGGTGGAGAGCAGACTGAGAAGTGACCAGGGCTGGGCAAGATTGTGGCTGGGCATTATGTCAAGGAGCCCCTGGAGCTGGGAGAGGACACAAAAGGACATGCCGCTGTTCACACCAGGTGGCCTTCCTGGTATAGTCTCAAGTCCTAGCCCATCAGACACTGTGCCTTTTAAGCCTCATCCATCCATGACTAGGGCTTAAAAGCTACTAATGATGTAATGTTTATTCATGATATTTTTTTTGGGGGGGGGCATATATATGGCAACAGAAGACAACATTTTATTTACAATATAGAATTATTTATTTTGTAATTCATGTTTGCTATTGGGGGCTGGTTTTCTCTTTCTACCTTCATGTAGTTCCAGAGAACAAATTCAAGCAGTCAGGCTTTTAAGGGTTTTACCCACTGGCCCTTATTTATGTTTGGAACATCTTACTCATAACATGTACTTATTTTATCTGTTTTGCTTCCTGTTTCCAAAGTGTAGTGACATCTCTATGACATATTATCAATTATTATGTCATTTGTATCCGTTTTTCCTTTACAGAAAGTTTAGAAATTTAATCTTAATAGTTAAAAGTGAAGCAGGCATCATGGCAACCAAACTGTGGCATATATACAATTATGATACTTTAGTTTGATAATCTGATTGAAATTTAAAATGAATCCTTTAATAAATTTATCTTGTTTTTTAAGTGGTTTTATTTTTATTTATTATTTTAATTATGTGTTTGTGTGCCGGGAGGGTGGGGATGCCTGTGAGTACGGCTCTCCAGAAGGCCAGAAGTGGGCATTTCATCCCCTGGAGCTGCAGTTATAGGCAACTGGGAGCTGTCTGACACGGATTCTGGGACCCGAACTCAGATTCTCTGCAAGAGTAGCACATACTCTTAACCACTGAGCCATCTCTCCAGCCCTTGATGCCAGTTTTAATCTTCATTGTTTTAGTAGTAAAATAAATATAACTAAGGTTTTTGTGTATGTATGTATTTGAGGGGGGCATGTGTGGGGAGATCAGAAGTCAACCTTAGATGGCATTCCTCAGGTGCCACCCACCTTGTTTTCTGAGACAGGGTCTCTCACTGGCTTGAAACTCTTCACCAAGGACACTAGTCTGGCTGTCCAGGCAGCCCCAAGGTTCTGTGTGTCTCTTCCTTCATAGCACTGGGATTACAAGAGCATGCCCACACACTCAGTGGCTTTTTTTTTTTTTTTTTTTTTTTTTTTTTTTTTTTTTTTTTTCCACACACTCAGTGGCTTTTTTTTTTCTTTCTTTTTTTTTTTTTAATATGGGCTCTGGGATCAAACTCAGGTCCTCATCTTGTGTCACAAGCACTTTACTGACTGAGCCATTTCCCCAACCCCATGCCCAAGTTTTAGCATGGTAGAAGGATCCACACATTATAGTTATAATTCATCATGGCAAGTTTACTATTTTCCATATGGAGCAGTTTTCATATCCGCAGGGTCGGTGCAGGGCTGCAGCCATAAAAGGATGTATATATATACCTCTGCATCGGCTTGCTACCCACCCTGCCTCGCCAAATCACACAAAGGATCCCGAAAAACTCTACAGATCTGTGGTGTTTTTATACGTTGCTTGAGTAATGACACTTCTTCCATCCAACTACTCACCAGCCAGACAGTGACTGTGAAGGGCAGGATAGCTTCTGGCGGTTGGGAAGAATTGTCACCCATAGGGCTATGCCAAGGCCAAGCAAGGTCATCTGGACTTACAGTAGGTGGATGACCTTCCTAGACTAGAGACAAGGCTATTTAAAGACATGCAATGCTGAGCCAAATATCAGGGACCACAAGGCCAACTTCCCCAGAGAGGCCCAGATCTTCCTTCACTGGACTGCTCCTTCTGGCAAAGCAGACTTTGCAGCTATGTCTGGTTAACATGATAGTTTTCAGCATGGGTCAACATGAATATCAACAGCAACAGCACTGTACCTACACCTGCACACTGTACTTTCCTGACTATTACCTACTACAATAATATCAACAGTACAAATTATCACCATATATTACGTGTATCTAAGATACTTGATTTGATATAATTGTATTATCAGTGGAGCATATATTTAATTTAGGCACGTAATATGCCAATATACAGTAATGGATACTATAATAAGAACACAATCACAACATATAATAGGTATATTCTCAATTCTACTTGGCAGTTACTTGGGCTCAGACAACCTCCCACCCTCCCAGTGCCCACTTCACTGTATCAAGGCCCATGCTGGCACTGTATTGACAACCACTGAGTTCTCCAGAGGGAAAGCCTGTAAGTACTCAATGGTGGCATATCAACTTACCTCCACAGCAAATTATAGCAGCCACAAAAAGGGAAATGTCACTGTCATCCAGTTCTAGGGCATTGAACTTCATAGCAAAATCAAACTTCGGTTCCAGGATGTCACAGAATGGCTTCCTCAGGTTCTTCAGGAACTCTCTTGTGATGAAGCCATTGCCATACGCTATCAGCATCCCGTCTTTGTTCATCAAAGAGGACAGCATTGTGAATATGGCTTCATACACACCGTACTTTAGCAAGGTGACTTGGTCATTCAAGTCCAAGTTTGCGAAGCCTGGGATGGCCTTGGCAAATTCTGTGAGCTCGGTGACAGTTTCCACGGACATGCACTGGCAGCAGTGGAAGATTCGGACTTCTGCCTCCTTGTTTTGGATGCCGTTGGCCACCATCTTGGCCACAAGCGTCTTCTCAGCCATACACAAGGTCTCCATGTCATGTATAACAAAAGGCTATAAAGGAAGGTGCTATCGTCAATAAGTGCCTACTCTATGACAAACTGTACAGTCCCCTTCAACATCTATGAATTAATGGGAAGTTACTGTATCTAAATCTCCAAGCTTGGTGCCGGGTTGATTCATAATAGATGTTCAGTGCAGTCCTGTAATTGGGCAACTTCAAAACCAGACAATAGAAGGCTTTGCCGGAAACTAACAAGATAAGTCAGTAAGATAATAGCTGTCAGGGCTGGAAAGATGACTCAGTGGGAAAGAGCACTTGCTGCTCTTGCAGAGGGCACTGGTTTGATGTCCAACTCACAACTGTTCCTAACTACGGTCTAACCCTTCCGACCTCTGCAGCACCAGGCAGGAAGGACATGCACAGACATAAACGCAGCCATGTAAATATATGCTAAATATGACTGACTTTGTGTAGAAATAAAGAGACAGGCCTTGTTCAGCTTGGTAGAATGGGAGTGGGACCACCTCCTAGTGTGCCTTTCAGTGTGGAAGACACAGGCCTCATGTCAGTGGCCTATCTTGGAACAAGAGCTAAATCCCAGCCTGGCTCCCTCTATGCTGAAGTACCATGGCATCTACACCCGCAGGTCCTGCCTCTTTATAAAGTGTAGTGAACAGTCTATCTTTGTCACTACCGTGTGAGTATGTGATGGTTACTCCGGATTGTCACATTGGTGAGATTCAGAATCACCTATGAGACAAACCGTAAAGACATTTCTAGAGGTTTATCTGAGGAGGAAGATCCACCCTGAATGTGGGCAACACCATTCCCTGGGCTGGATTGCCAGACTGAATTTAAGGGGAGTCAGTACCGTTCATCTCTGCTTCTTGACTGTGGCCATAATGTGACCAGCTGCCTCATGCTCTATCATGCCTTCCCTATCACGATGGACTAGAGCTAAAATAAACCCAATATTAATTTATGTTTGCCAGGTATTTGTCACAGCAACTGGATGAGCAACAAATAAAATGACCAAAGGAAATTAGCTATGGGATGCTGAATCTTTATGGCTATTGCCACACCATTCCCAAGAGACAAATGTGGAATCAACAAAGACGTCTACTGACAGATGAACAAATATGCCGAAAGAATATTATTCAGCCATAAAAAAGACATCTGACTTTGTAGTAGAGAAGCATTCCCAGCATATGCAGTCTCTAGAACTACAAATACTCTTTAAAACCCGTACTCACTCAGTGTGGACACTTAATTCTGATTGTGAAAAATTACATTAAATTTAGTCTGTGTATGTGTAGGCAATGTGTGGAGGTCAGAGGACAACCCACAGAGTCAGGCTTCATATATGTTGTGGGTCCCAGGGATCAAACTCAGGTTTTCAGGCTTGGAAACAAACACTTTCACTACCAAGCTATCACACCTGCCCTAAAACTGTGAACCAACTGTATTTCTGTAGTCCCTTTAAATCAGACTTTTTATTTTGTTAGTTTTTTGAGACGGGGTTTCTCAGTGGTTAGGAACACTCACTGCTCTTCAAGAGGTCCTGAATTCAATTCCCTGCAACTGCATGGTGGCTCACAACCATCTATAGTGGGATCTGATGCCTCTTCTGGAATAAAGGAGTACATGGAGATGGAGAGCTCATTTGCATAATTAATATATATATATATATATATATATATTAAAACAGGTCTTGAGTGTGAATCTGTAAACAAAATACTTGCTTGGCAGCTTGGCTCTGAGTTTTACTCATAGAATGCCCATGAGTCATTTTTTTAAATTATTTGATGTGTATGGGTATTTTCACCTACATGTACATCTTTGCACCACGTGTGTGCAGTGCCTTTGGAGGCAGAAGGATTCAGGTCCCCTGGGACTAGAGTCAAGTGCTTTCCTTCATAAGAGTTGCCATGGTCACGGAGTCTCTCCAGAGCCACAGCACTCAGACTGAGACAGCATTATTACCTTCATTCTGAACACTGTCTTTTCCTAACATGCACTCAGCAGAAATAAAAGTGGAAAGCAAGCAAATACATAGCCAAGATTTAGAGAAACATAGTAAGTAGGGCTGGGACATCCCGGAGTCTTTGACATGACAAAGGTACACTGGGACTCTTCCAGAAGGGGGTTGTGGGTTCCAGGGGACTTGATGATTATCATAGAGGGCATCGCCAAGGACTTGTTCAGCCTCAGCTACACAGCTCACAAAGTGAAGCAAAGAGAACAGGTGTTTCCTTTGCTAAAAGACAATGAAAAATTCTGTGTGTGTGTGTGTGTGTGTGTGTGTGTGTGTGTGTGTGTGTAAAAGAGAGAGGGGGGGGGGGGGGGATGCATGCAGGTGCCCATGTAGGCTGGAAGAGGCTAGCAGACACTCTGTAACTGGGGTTATAGGCAGTTACGATCTACTGAGCCATCTTTCTGGCCCTAACATCTAGACATCTAAGAAGCTGTTGAAAGGCCTCTTTGGAAGCCAAGTTCAAGGGGAACAACTGTTTCCAATTCTGTCACTTTAAAATCAAGCAGGAACACATCCCAAGAAGTGTTTTAGCCCTACCACCAGGGTTCCTGGCCATTTTCTGATTTATGTGTCTGAAATCCCAGGGCCTCAAATCAGACCCAGGGTCCAGAAGGAAACCAATGGTCTCATCTGTCTCCCCAGTTCTTCCCTCAACTAAACTCACCTTTCCCCACAGTTTCCTTCAGGCCTTAGCAAAATCCTGCCTCCAGGAACCCCAGCCCTGACCAGCTCTAGGATGGCTCTGGGTCTCCACTTCTTCTGATGGGTCTTTTACAAGGAGGAACCTGACCTCTCCTTTTAGAAAACTAGAGACTGCTTAACCATACCATCAGACAAGCTGTCCTGTTCCCCAATATGGTGTGTGGAGTCTGGGACCACTCCTGCCCTAGTTGGCCTGCACAACAACAAAACTGCTGTGCACTGTTGGCATGAATGCCCAATCTCCCCACCTGATTAGTTCATGTTCATAACATCCATGCACTTTAAACTGTTTGCCAGCCGAAACAGTGTCTGTGCCTCACTGATGTTCTGCTGGCGCCGTCATCCCAGCCTAGGACCTGATTGTCACTGAGTGTTGTGCCATGGGACACAGGCCAAGCTGAGTGCACAGAGCTGCAGCCTGATACCCTAAAGTGACTCCCACTTTTTTTCTTCCATTTTTTATTTGAATTAGAAACAAGATTGTTTTACATGTCAATCCCAGTGGCCTTGCTGGGGCTGTCATCCCAGCCTAGGACCTGATTGTCACTGAGTGTTGTGCCATGGGACACAGGGCAAGCTGAGTGCACAGAGCTGCAGCCTGATACCCTAAAGTGACTCCCACCTTTTTTTCTTCCATTTTTTATTTGAATTAGAAACAAGATTGTTTTACATGTCAATCCCAGTTCCCTCTCCCTCCCTTCCTCCCCAGGTGCTTGCCTTCTAAATGTCTTAAAAACCTGGGGCTAGAGAGATGGCTCAGAGGTTAAGAGTGCTTGCTGCTCTTGAAGACTGGGGTTCAGTTCCCAGCACCCACACAGTGGTTCACAACCAACCTATAACTTCAGTTCCAGGAGATCCAATGACTTCCACAGGCTTCTACATACACGTACATGGTACACAGACATACACTGAAGACACACACACACACACACCAAGTATTTAAATCTTGTAAAACACGCATCCTACAGTCTCTTGATGCCACTGCAGCAACAAGACCAGAGCTCCGCAGAGGTTCTAGGGCAGTGAAGCTGGTGGCAGGCACTCTGCCACCTGGACATTTCCCAGGCTGGGCACAGATGGAAGAGGAAAGATGGGGTCTCACACTGGACCAGCAAGTTCTGGGAAGCTGGCCAGTACACTGGGTAGGAAGAGAAGGCCCAGCCTCTGAAATGATGTGAGACCTGGAGGTGGGAGGTGCCTCTGGCCAACAGCGTGGTCAAAAGCAGTTAGACATTGCTTCTAAAGCTGCATAGAGGTTTGTGGCTGAAGCAGGCAGTTATCTGCCACAAGCTGTTAATTTGGGTGTGTGTATAATGTGATACGTGTGTGTGTGTGTGTGTGTGTGTGTGTGTGTGTGTTCAGTTTGCTGTCCGGAAAGTTCCAGGATCCTCTTGTCTGCCTCTACAGTGCTGGGATTACAGATATGCATGACCACATCTGGCTTTTTATGTACCAGCTGAGGATCCAAAATCAAGTCCTGAGGCACTAAACTCTCTGAGCCAGCTCCCAAACCCCTCCTCCCAGTCGGTGTGTCTAATGTAGCAGCCCCCAGCCCTAACCCTTAATCTATCATCCATTTCCACACGAGTCTTGATTTTCTCAAGACAGGAGAGTGGGACCCTCATAGGAAGCCTATGGATCCTGGTGAAGAAAAAAAGAGGCAACTCAGTAGAGATCAAATCAGTATTCAAGCAGAGTGTTTGGGTATGAGTAAAACTGACTCTTAAGTTTGCTCTAAATATCAAAGTTTGAGGGAGAAATAGAAGGACTGAAATGGAAATTCTGAATTCCCTCATTTGGGGTCATTGTCACAGAAATGCAAACTGTGATCCAGAAAGGTTCTAATTCAGGGGTTCTCAACCTGTGGGTCATGACCCCCCTCAGGGTCACAAATCAGATCTCCTGCATATCAGATATTTACCTTATGATTCATAACTGTAGCAAAATTAAAGTTATGAAGTAGCAGCAAAATAATTTTATGGTTGGGGGTCACCACAACATGAAGAACTGTGTTAAAATGTCGCAGCATTAGGAAGCATGACAACCACTGCTCTAATTGGAAAGGGCCACTGGGGCCACCGGGTGTAGAGTTTGCTGGAACCCTCTAAAATGTCTCAGCTCATTTCGTTGGAGAATTCACCGAAGAATTAAAAGACTCAGTAAAAGAGAGGTTGGACTTGTTCACTGAAGTATGTAGCTTGTGAAATCCTTCATTTTCCTGTGACTAAAATTCTAGCTTGTAATTCCCAATGAGGAAGGCTCCAAGCTATTCATTAGCGCAAATTAAACCTGTCGTACCAGGCACACAGGAAAAAGGCAAGAGTCCTTATGTGCCAAGTGAGGGCTGGTCTCTCTATGGAAATGGCTCTTGATACCCTTTTACAGTGCGCACAGGCTTATCCATCTGTGGGAACAGTGCATGCGCCAGACACAGGGTCCTGTCAACAAAGGACCCTTCCCAAGATCTGAGCCATCACAGTGAAGGAAAAGCAAGAAGGCGACAAGGGAGGCAGGTGCAGCTTTAGCAGAAAGAATGAGAGTGGGGGAAGGAATAGGTTTCATTTATGGCTTTATACAGGGATTAAAACACACTTAAGAAACACCCTGATACTAGGTAAGGTATTAACTAGATTATTTTTGGCATATCAATTACACAGCCTGTATAAAGGCTCGGTTGCTAGGAGCTGAGGCAAGCCCAGGCAGGAAGGCAACTGTTGGTGTCAAGCTACATCTTGAGCCTCAGAATGACCCCGTGTATTTCCATGGCCCTTCCTTGGACTTTGGGATAAATTCTATTTTCTACATTGGACAATGCTTAGTCATTCCCTGTGACTCCAGCTGACATACCACCAAGTGATAAGGTACCAAGGGCAGCAGGAGAACCTACAGGGTTATTGCTGGTCTTTCCTGCGAGGATGACCCGGGCCTTGACCTTGTTCATGTTGAAGTTCTTCAGGTAGGCCTCGTGGATTCTCTTGGCCAGAGATTTGAGGTCTGCAGTCTCCGAATCTTCCAGATCATGTTCACATGTAAGAATTTCTGCTTTCAATTTTGCTTTCTCAGATCTTGGCATGCGTCCAAAACGAATTGCTGGAGTTGGGGTGGGGATGGGACAAGGGGAGATGTAGAACTGATCAAGGCACTTGATGACCAAGGCAAGGGTGAAAAGTAGAATGGAAAGCTCACACCAAGAATGGCAAGTTAAACCCATTTCTTATTATGACTGAACTTTCTACCAGGCAGACTGATAAACAACCACACAGCTTAACCTCAGGTAGGCCATTGGTGAAGGGATGAAAATGAACTATCACCTACCTGCCGTCTATCATCTGACTATCAATCATCTGGTCATTTATACATCTTCTATCAATCATCTGTCTATCATCTGCCTATTAATTATCTATATAACTATCTACATACTTATCTATCATCTGCCTATCATCTACCTACCTATCACCTATCTATCTGTCTGTCTGTCTATCTATCTATCTATCTATCTATCTATCTATCTATCTATCTATCTGTCATCTATCTATGTCTATGTTCTTTCTGAGACAGGGTCTCATCTAGTGCCTCATGCTGGCCTCCAATTAACTACAGAACCGAGAGTGATCTTGAACTTCTGAGATTCTTGCCTCTAACCCTCAAGCACTCAGTTTACAAGCCAGGTCCACATGGTGCTGGGAGTCCAGTGCCTCATGCATGCCAAAGCACTCTACCAGTTGAGGTACATCTCCAGCCCAATTTTATAATTTTTGAGACAGGGTTTTTCTATGTAGCCCATGCTGGCCATGAAGTTAAAAAACTCTTCTTGCCTCAGCCTTCTGAGTGCTGGAATTATTGGCATGAACCACTATGTCGTGATCCTAGTACTCCCCAGAGGCAGAGACAGAGGCAGAGGCAGATGGATCTCTGTGAGTTCAAGACCAGCCTGGTTTACACGGCAGTTTCCATACAAGCCAAGGCTGGGTAGTGAGACCCCTTCCCACCTCAAAAGTAAATAAATAAATTGATTGATTGATTTACATTCACTGGGAAACCATGTTCTAAATTAGATTATGGCTGAGGAAAACGAAACTCATATTACGGTACAATGCTTGAACCAACACACATTTAACAGAAGTGATGTGACATCTTGCCACTCCAGTGACCCCCAAGTTGACAGCAAAGTCTTACCACAATATTTTCAAGTGCTCTGCCAGATACCAGCTTTTGGAGATATTTACACCCCTTCAAAATATAGCCATTCTTATTAGGAGGATAAATGGAGGCATGGACTGGCACAGGGTGCCCAGCAGCCTTACCTACCATTGTGTGACATCCCAACAGACAGGCACTTGTGGAAGCGGCAGTATTGGCACTTATTCCTGTTCTTTTTTTGAATCTTACAGCTCCGATCACATTTGTCATATACCAGCTTTAGCCGAATAGTTCGCCGAAAGAAGCCCTGTGACATCAATACAAAATTTACTTAAAGAACGTGGGCTCTGGGTAAGTCACCCAACTGGTGTCACTCAGCTTTCTTGTGCATTTGATTGACTGGTTTGTTTTGAGACAGGATTTCACGTAGCCCAGTCTGGTAAAGAGCTTTCTCTGTGGCCAAGGATAACCTTGAACTGTTGATCTTTCTGCTCCTAGGACCACATGGATGAGCACCGTCATGCCTGGCTTTATGGGGTACTGGGATCCAACCCAGTGTTCTGTGCATGCTAGGCAAGTATTCCTTTTTTTTTTTTTTCCTGAGACAGGGTTTCTCTGTGGCTTTGGAGGCTGTCCTGGAACTAGCTCTTGTAGACCAGGCTGGCCTCGAACTCACAGAGATCTGCCTGCCTCTGCCTCCCGAGTGCTGGGATTAAAGGCGTGAGCCACTACCGCCCAGCATTAGGCACGTATTCTACCAGCTGAGCTACAGCCCAGCCTCACTGTCTCTTTCCAAAGAAACCATGTGTTGAAGTTTTAGAAAGTCTCATGTCCCTGGGGAAATAGAAAATGGGCATCTCACTGCATTAAAAATGGAAAATTATGTGCTAAGGCAGAGTTCCAAGAGATCTTAAAAAGACCCTACCTGATGGGGGAAGAGGGAATGGTAGTTCCTTGGATCACAAAACCAACTCCCAAAGAGCAGACATTATAGCAAGAGGGAACCACCTATACAAGGGCAACATTCTTTTACACAGCAACATCGAGGCTTCACCCATGAAGAAAACTACTTGAACCCATAAAAGCCAAGACTAAACAAATGCAATTGGACATGACCTTGACAGAAAGCCCTGTCATAAGTCAAGCTTTTAAAGGGATTCAGATGGAAGACTCCAGAAGGGATTTACTTTGGCTTTTAGTCCTTTGCTTTTGAGCACCCCCTCCATTTTTTTGCCTGACACAGTGGACTTTCAGGCCCATGCCGAAGGGATCAGGCCTTCATTGGAGACTAAGGGATTGGAAGGAGTAGGTTCCTCATCTGGGCAAGTGAGGTAGAATGACAGAAGGATGTGTAAGATGGAAAGGAAAGGTGAGAAGCAAGGACTGTGACTGCCAGGGACCAGCAGACCCTGGATCTGGGTTTATTGTTTCCATGCACCAGGCCTTTAAGACCAGGCCCACCTTAAGACAGATGACAGTGCTTCAAGAATGATGTATAGGAAAGCCTGTGATATTCCCTTAGAGCCTGGATACCTCCAAAAGGTACTAGGAATGGAGCCTTTGGATTTTAAGCAAACATGTGCATCTCTCAATTTTCCATATATGGTGTCTATTCAGTGACAAACTTGGAGAATGTACATGCAGCAGGGGGGGACTCACTTTAGGTACATGGGGCCCGAGTCATGCCTGTCTAGAAGTCAAGCTGACTCTCAAGAGGATAGAGATACTCAGGATGGTGCAGTGGCTAGGAGAGGAGGGTGGGAGTATGAGACAGAAGTGACCAGTGGGAGTAAGGTACAATAGCAGGGGAGCTAGAGACTGTGGACTCTGAGCACGGGGCAGGACATGTCTGATAGGCAGCCCCTTGCTCAATGTATGGTAACCTCTGCCCTAGGTGGCCCCTGGAGAAGTCCTGAGGTAGCAGGTAAACACACTCCCCTGAATGGTCACCTCTGCCCTAGCTGGCTTCTGGGGTGGTCCCAAGGTGAAGTACATAGTCTACACTTTGTGTCACAGGGAGAGTCATTTATATAGCAACTGTGTTTTGTTTCCTGGTTTGTTTAAAGGATGCACTCCTCTAGAGTATTTACAAAGTACAGCAAAGCAACCTGCCCTTGATTCTCAAAAGAGGGATCAACCTGCCACCGAGGTCACTTCTCTGCTTTCTGTAGGTCTCAGAGTGGTGGACATCTTGTATAGGAGAAAAGTCATTGAGCCATGTGGCTACCTCACCCTCCACCCAGGACCCCTGTACCTTGCAACCTTCACATGCATGTACTCCGTAGTGGTAGCCTGAGGCCTTGTCCCCACATATTCGACACTCAATGTTCAGTGCACTGCCGGGGGACTCATCCGTGCTGACGGGAATCACAGGACAGCTGACTGATGAGGGGCTGGACGCTGGAGAGAGGGTGTCTACAAGGAAGAACAAAGTGTATGAAACTTGAGGTGCTACCACCTGTATCAGAACCAGAGCCCTGGGAAGACGACTCGGCGTAATAGGGGGACCTGAGCTGTGGGCAGGTGCCCCTCTTGAATCAGCCCTGCCCAGGGCCATACTCTGCCCATAGTCACCATGCTGCCATCATCCTGGAAGCTCATGTGCACTAACCTGCCTTCTAACTTGTACCCTACCTCCAGCTCTTCAGAGGCCATGTTATGAGACCTCCACGTGGGCCCTAGTCTCCCATGCCACATGCCCAGCATAGAGCTGGGCTGCCTTCCAGTTTTGTTGTCACTATTATTCAATGGCACCAGAATATGGCCTGGTGATTCATCTGAGTCAGGCAGTGACACATGTTTCTAACCCTAAGATTCAGCAGCAAAGGCAAGAGGATTTCGAGTCCAATACCAGCTTGGGCCACCTAGTGAAACAGAGATAGAAGAGGGAAGAGAAAAGTGTGGAGAGGCAGAGGAGGGGGAAGTGAAAGAGAACTGGGTGAGAGAGTTGAGAGGGGAGAAAAGAATGTGCTGAGAATAAGGCAGAGAAAGGGAGTTGAGAGAGGAGAGACGACAAAGAGAAAGAGCAGAGGAATGGAAAGACAAATGAGAACCTGGGAAAAATACTCCTAAAGACACACTCAATGAAAGTCTTGCATCCAAATGATACAAAGAAGTCTTAAAAAGTAAACAATAGAAAACAACACATATAAAAAGCATCAATAGACCCGAATGAACACGTCACCCAAAAAGATAGACAGAAGGGGTGTGAACTTATGGAAACAGCCTCAGTGTCACTGTCATTAGCGGATTTGTGAGTTAAAACCACGGTGACGATCACTACACACCTATTAAACTATCTTCTACAAAACTGACAACAGATCCAGGCGGTGGTGGCACACACCTTTAATCCCAGCATTTGGGAGGCAGAGTCAGGCAGATTTCTGTGAGTTTGAGACCAGCCTGGTCTACAAGAGCTAGTTCCAAGATAGCCACCAAAGCCACAGAGAAACCTTGCCTCGAATGGCACCCCCTCAAAAAACCCAAGTAACAAAGCTGGCAACAGAAGTGCTGGCAGGGTTGTGGAGTGGCCACTGTCACCCATGGCCAGTGCACATTTAGAAAGAAAGGAATAGCCACTTTTTAAAGGCAAAAACGGTTGTAGGTGAGAAAAATCGCATCTCTGGTTACTTACCCAACTGACTTGGGAACAGGTCCACACAAAAACGATATATGTATGATGTGTATTCATGTGTGTGTTGCTATATGTGTGAGTACTGTCATGTGTTAGCATGCATGTGGAGGCCACAGGCTAACTTGAGTGTCAGCCATCACCTTCCACCTTGTTTGAAACAGGGCCTCTTTTCTGTTGTTCACCTCTTCATGTACCAGTGTAGCTGGCTTGTGAGCTTTTGTGGGAGGCTCTTGTCTCTGTCCACCTTTCCCCCATGTAGTACTGGGATTGTGGACCCAGGCTATTGCATTTGGCTTCTTTTGTTTCAAACATATGTTTTTTAGGTTTTGTTTTTTTTCTTTTATTAATTTTTTAAAAAAATTCTTGTCAATCCCTTCTCCCTCTCCCTCCTCTCACCCACGTGGGATGGGCTCTCAAAGTCCCTTCTTACACCAGGGAAAAATACTAATCCACAACCAGGGGCCCCCTGGAGTGCAGAGGCCTCCTCATTGACATCCATGTTCAGGGCTCTGGATCAGTCCTGTACTGGCCTCCCCGACAGCATCTCAGTACCTCATGCTTATATGGCAAACACTTTTACCTACAGAACCATCTCCCAGCTCCAGTAGCTTCAGACTTAATTGTCAAGAATTGGAAGTAGCCAAGAATAATGTATGAGAGTTTGAGGCTAGCCTGAACTATACAGTGAGTTCCAGGCCAGCCTGAGCTACAGGTCCGAGATCATGAAACCAACAGAAAACAGGGTTGGTGGGATGGCTCAGTGCTATGAAAGCCTGACATCCTGCATTCCATCCCAGGAGCTCACAGTGGAAGGTAAGAACTAACTAACACATGAAAGTTGTCCTCTGTCCTACATACACACACCTCACACATACACACACAAATAAATCAAATAAAACAAACAAACAAACAAACAAAAACCCACAACAAAGCAACTATAAAAAGACACCCTAGCAGCAGCTGATCACAGGCAGGGCCAGGCACATACATTCCCGTTGTCACCCTGCACAGTGGATGCTCCTGACTGTGTGGGGCATCAGGTGCAGCACTCGGAGGGTACTTAACTGCTTTGGCAGGGAGGAAATCACTTGTCAGAGTAGAAGCTATATGGTTCCATATAACAAAGCTAGAAGCAAGACCAGAAAGGATGAAACACTTCACAGTCACTTAACTGCATCTCTGAACAAAGCCTGAGCATGCTTAGTGGAATGCAAGCTCTACCACACAACAGAGCTCTGTGTGCCACTCAATTAAAAAAATTACAAGGCATACAAGCAGAAATCTTGGCTCATGATGAGAAGAGAAATGAATGAAAGAAACCCAGAAGTGACACAGATAATAGCACTTGCAGCCAAGACATTAAGAAGTTATTCTGACCATACCCTAAAAAGCAAGATAGAAGACTGGATGCATTGGATAGAAATGAGGGTGCAACAAATGGATCCTGGTGCTGGTTATGAAAACTACAATATCTGGTGTGCACAATAAATCAGGTAGATTAGGCACTGCCAAAGAAAAGATCGGCAAACTGGAAAACACAGTAATAGAAACTATCCACAGTGAAACACACACACACACACACACACACACACACACACACACACAGAGAGAGAGAGAGAGAGAGGGGGGGGGAGAGAGAGAGATGCATGAGAGAGATAAACAGAGAGAGAGAGACAGAGAGACACAGAGAAAATGCACAACAACATAGCATGAACTGTGGGAAGAAAGAAAGAGTGAAGCTGTTAGCTAAGAAGACTCCAGGCCCAGATGACCTCATCTATGAAATCTACCAAGCATTCAAGGAAACTCAATTATCAATTCTCCAGAAAAACTTCCAGGAAACCCAAGAAGAGGGAACATTTCCTCATTTCACAAGGCAAGAATCAATCTAAGACCAAAGCCAGACAGGGTTATTCTAAATAAATAAATAAATAAATAAATAAATAAATAAATAAATAAAACCCCCTTAATAAAATTTTAGACAATTAAACTATATACCAAGAGGGTGAGACATTAGGACAAACTAACATTTTCACTGGAATGCAAAGTTAGCTTAACCTCCAACATGTGCAATTTGCCATATTAATAAACTAAAAGGGGCTCTGTGGTAGTGGTGCACACCTTTAGTCCCAGCAGATCTCTGTGTGTTCAAGGCCAGCCTGGTCTACAGAGTGGGTTCCAGGACAGCCAGAGTTACACAGAGAAACCCTGTCTTGGAAAAAAAATGAATAACTCAAAAAGCAATAAATAAATTAAAAGGAAGCTTTTTGATCATCATCCTAGTGCATACAAAAATATTCCCCACACCTAACACCAATGCCTAATAAAAATTCACAGCAAACTAGGACAAGAAGTTGACTTCATCAGCCTCATAGGAATGCAGTTAGAGGGCATAGAAGAGAAACTGCAACCAGTACACTCTGTGGCAAAAAAAAAAAAACACCAAAAAATCTAGGTGATTTTTCCATAGGATCAGTAATAACAGGAGGTGTCACCATTCCTATCTAACATTATGCTGTAAGTTCCAACCAGTGTAACAACATAAAAAAATTACAGGGACCCATCTTGAAAAGGAAGAAGTGAAACTGTCTTTGTGGTAGATGACATCATTATTTACATGGACATCTTAAAGAATCTATAAAGAAAAGTTACCAGAAGCAATTAAATTTAGGAATTAGCATTCAAAAACTGATTATACTTCTATTTATATAATACTGAATAGCCAGAAATTTAAATGCAAATAATCAACACCACTTATAATCATGTCAAAAATATAAGATGCTTCCATATAAATCTGACACAAAATATAAAAAGCCTGCACATGGCTCAGTGAGTAAGAGCACTTGCTGTTCTTCCAGAGGACCTGAGTTTGGTTCCCAGCACATATTTCAGATACCTCACATCTATCTCTAATTCCAGCTCCAGGATAATATAATGCTTCTGGCCTCCACAAGCACCTGCATTTACATGTACAGAACTACACACACACACACACACACACACACACACACACACACACACACAATCGACCAGGTGATTCTAAATTACATACAAAGTGCATAAAGTAGGAAAGACCTAAGCTATCCCAAAGAATCTAACCAGAAAGCTTATCCAGGGGACACCAGAACTATTGCACATAGATCTACTGTGAACAGTTTCTCATAAGGCTCTGTTCAGAGATCTGCATTTTTCTCTTGGGTAAATACATACATAGGAGTGGAAGGGCTGGAGCATGAAGCAGATTTTGTGTGAGTTTTCAGAAAATGCCAGCACCATGGGACTGGTATTCAATGAAAGAAACGGTGGAGCTGAGCAAAAGCCTAGATAGAGACCTTCAATGTCCACTGATTTTAGAGACACAAAAACAGTGGAGTGGTCTTGTCTGTGAGCTGTGCCTGAACAACCGCAAATGAAAGAGAAAGTGAGAAAGAAACTTTGATTTGAATGCAAAAATTAAGTCAATGAACACTGGACTTCAATGTAAAACATACAACTTCCCAAAGATATTCAAGCAAAGGTCTCTTAAATATGACACAAAAAGCATGGTCTACCAAAGAAAGGACACTGATAATGGACTTCATCAATTAGGAACTGGTTTTTATTCAATGACACAGCTAATGGAAAAGACAAACTACAGATGGGGAGGGAGCATTTGTAGACCATTTATCTGATGAAGTCCTTTTATCCACAATACATACAGACGTTTCTATCATCAGTGGTAAGAAAACACACAACCCAAGTAAAAAGTGGGTAAATGATTTCAACAGAAGCTTAGCCAAAAGACGTTATAGGGCAAATTATCACACAAAAAGATTCAGCATCAGATGAGCAAACTAAAATTACCCCACAAGAGCACCATGACTCACTTACAAGAATGGCTAAGGTGTCAAAGACTTGTCACACCTTCCATGGGTGAGCTTGTGAGGAGGTGAACTCCCATATGAAGGTGGGGACAGCACTTTGGAAAGGGGTTTGGTATTTCCTGAAGACTCACACAAGCATCTGCCCCACTAGCCCAGCACTTCCTATGTATTTACCCAAGAACACAGATGTCTGGACAAAGCCTTGCATGGAACTATTCATAGTGGTTCTATATGCAATAGCTGGGAACTGTCCACAGCTCCAGTGCTCACCAGCATGGGGACAGAAACAATGGTATGTCAGACAGTGCACAGCAGTGGGGAAGTACAGATACACCACCACACAGAGGCATCATAAGTGGATCCCAAGGAGTGTGGAAGCCTTTCTAGAAAGAACCAGGCCATTTAGAGAAAGTTCTAGGAAACACAAACATCCCTACAATTCTAGAAAACATACCAGAAGTCATGTGGTAAAGAAGAAGGAAGGCATTGCAGGGCTCAGCAAGCTGACTTTAATGGGTGTGGTTATTATTTGGATTGTAATGATGATGGCTTCAGAGAGAGAGACAGAGAAACAGAGATATTCTTCTTTATGAAAAAAAGGTCATATTTCTAAGGGAAATACACATCTAGGAATATCTTTCTAGAAAGCCCCACTTACCTGTGATGACAGAGCCCTCGGAGCCTGGACAGCTTCCTAAGTACTGGTAGTCCGTGAAACTAAAGCTTCCAGAACTCTCCTCCTCAAGGGACTGAGAAATCTCCTGAATGTTTCCCATTTCTTGTAAGAATTCTTCCGATAAGGGACTCTCCAGGTCATCTGCCTCAAGTGGGGAGAGGGGACAGATGGGGCTCTCTGTGTCCACCATGTTGACTGGAAGTGGCCACGAAGGCCACAGAGCACCAATCTGTGGGATGAAAATAGCCAGAAGAGTGTTCACTTTCTGCTCTGAAATGAAAACACAACTTATCCTTAAAGAACTAAGTTCAAATCTCAACAGTGGCAGCATTGACTCTCCACTCTCAACTCTTGAAAGCACAGTAATAAAATTCTCTAAACAGGGTCTGGGGAGACGGCTTAGCAGTTGTTGCTTTTGCAGGGGATCTGGGTTCAATTCCCAGCACCCACGTGGCAGCTCACAATCATGTAAACTCTGGTTCCAGGGAACTCTGACCTCTATGGGCATCAGGCACGTGTTTGGTGCACATATATAGATCCAGGCTAAATTCTCAAACACATAAAATAAAAATGCATGTTAAAATCTGTTAACAACAAACACAGGAGCCAAACCAGGTGCAGTGGGCAACCCTTCATTGCTTCCCGACTGTTCACTACACATGAGCTCAGCTTTCCAGCTATGGACAAAAACACAGTCCATGTCCCTAGAACTTCCAGTGGGGACACAGGCGGGGGCCAAATGAATGGGATGTCTGATGGGGGCGAGAGGACACAGCAAGAGCAGATGGAGAACAGATGCCTTGCATGGGGAACCCCCAGAAGGATGGGCTGTTTTGGAGAAGAATGTTCCAGCAAAGAGAACAGCAAGTGCTGGTGCATGCCAGCACATTCTAAGATCAGCAGGAGGCCACAGGGCTTGGTTGAGGGGCCCCAGGAGGGAAGGCGGGAGCAGTCAGCAAGAGTGTTGTGTGGTATTCATTCTTGGGTTTTCTTCTGTACACACGAAGGTCAGTCTATTGTAGTCAGTATTAGAAAAGTTACATAGTAACAAGTGCTTTGTGAAGTTTTAAAAATATCTAAAGTAGGTAAGTCCCAGGCAATGCCAAACTCCACTTTCCTGCAAGCAAAAACCAGTGTCCTCATGGGAAAGTGCACTCTCCATAATCTTAAATGACTTCCTATGATCTCCAGGTCAAAGTCCAATCCCCTTAGTGCGTCAGTCCAGCCCATGGGAATATATAGCACACTAGGCCTTTTTGCTATTTCACCTGGGCATCTTTTCCTGGATGTCTCACTGCTGCCTTCAGTAGGCCCTACTCCCAGTCCACCTCCCGGAGCCTGACAGACAGGGTCACCACGCACCCAGTCAGACTGACTAGATGACATTTAGCTTTCTGAACTGTTTTCCCATCTAGAAGTAGTCACAGAGAAAGCCACAGCTCACATCACAGAGGAGGTCAGAGGCACTGTGTACTAACTAGCTGGGCCATGGGTTCCACATGGAGTAGCCCCTGTCACACAGTGGCCATGCCAGTGCTGTAGGTTTCAAACAGAGCAACCCCTGTTACACGGTGACTAGTCAGTGTCTTCTAAAGAACATTTCCCAGAGCACTGAATGAACACATGTGCACTGACATTGCCACATTTTCAAGTTTGCCAAAGGTCAACAAACTTTTCAAGTGCAACAAGGAAGGGGTGTTTTGGCTTCCCGGAGAAACAAACAGTGGCTACAAACTACATGTTTTTTTGTGAACAATTCGCATCTCAGGCTTGGAACCCTGACATATCATAGGTGACCATTACAGACAGGGAGACATGACAAAGAATGACCACCATCTGGGAGATGGCTCAGCTGGTAAAGTGCCTGCTGTGAAGGGGTGAGGCCCTGGGCTCATTCCGCATCACTGACTTACAAAGCCTGGCAGTGTGCACCTACAATCCCAGCACTTACGAGGCCAGATAATCCTAGCTGAATCCAAGTTCTGTGAGACTCCCTCTCAAAAGATAAGGTGGAGAACAATGTCAGGAAGACAACTGATGTTGACTTATATACACACATACACATCATATACAAACACACACTACACACACCATATACACACACACCATACACATACACTCATACACATAACACACACACACACAAACATCATACACACATACCATATATACATACACACCACACACACATACACCATATACATATCATACACACACATACACATCATATATACATACACACCACATACACATACCACACACACCTACACATATCGCACACACACACACACACACACACACACACACACACACCACACACATACACCATACACACACACATACACACACAAATATATACATCATACACACACACACACCACATACACCATATACACATCGTATACACACCATACATACATCATACACATATACACACCACACACCACATACATCATATACACATCATACACACACCACACACACATCATACACACACACACACCATACACACAACACATCCCTCCCCCTCATACCACACACACACACACACACACACCTTTGTAGGATAAAGACAACCTTCTATTTTCTGTGTATGCTATACCACAAATCTTTGCCCACTTTTTTATTTGGAGAGGTGGTGCTGGGGATGGAACCCAGGGCCTTGTGTATGCTCAGCACTTTCCACCACTGAGCTACCACCCCTGCCCATCAACACACTTTATTCTGCACTGTATTGAAAGGACTAGATAGTGGAAGAAGCATTACATAAGTTATTTTTCACCTTGAGCAAAAAGTTCAAAAGCTGTAATCATGAGATCAGACATAAAGTTCATCCCCATAAAAAGGCCAGACGGGGACAAAGTCTGTGCTAAGGAAGAGCTGTGTCTTCTCATTTTTTTCTGTCCCTGCCATTGACAGCAGCCTTTATTCCCACAAACCAGGAGCACTGGGCTAAGACCATGAGCTGGTTTCCTTGTCATGACCTTCAGGGAGCACCAGTGTTTGGTATCATGTCATTTGACTCTTTGCTTGCTTTTAAAGAATAACTGGTTTTAACTAGAGAAACATTGGTCTTGCCATTCATGAGATAGATGGGATAACACCTCTTCATGAGTGGGGCAATCTTAATGTGAACTCTGACCGCTGGGCCTGGCACCACACAGAACACATCAGTCCTTCTTGATTCCAACCAGGCCAGATAAAAGCCTTTCCCTTTCAATGGGTCCTCCAGATAGATAACAGAGGTCACATGGGCACACCCCAACATGCTCGCTCTGAGGTTCCCAGCATGCCCTGGCATCACAGTAGACTCTGTTAAAAACAAAAACATCCGGGGCAGTCCTACCACTGTGTCCCACACCCACAGTTCACTGCCATTGACGGTTCACTAAGAAGAGCAGCCAGGCCAGCCAGTGACTGTGCCCTGTGCCCCAGATGTCCCAGAAGGATAGGAGAATGAGAAACAATTCCCCATCTCAGTGCCC